ACATGTTTCTTGAAGACGGGATTTTGTTTTTTATCTCTGGAGATTTTTTTCCTGAATAGGCATATTTAACCCATCGGTAAAGAATCCACCTGCATGCAGGAGACATAATGAAATGTGGGTTTCATCCCTGAGTCCGGAAGATCCCGTGGAGAAGCAAACGGCAACCCCAGTATTCTTGCCTGGAAAATTCCATGGACAGAGGAGCCTGGCGGGCTCCAGTCCATGGGGTCGCACAGAGTCAGACACAACTGAGCATACACAAGACACATACACATTTATTGCAATTGCTGAAATATTTGATCTTATTCCTGGTGTCACTTTTGTTTTCTATTTCCTGTGCTTTGTCTTTCATGCATTCTAGTATTGTTGGATTTATTTCATTTTTCCCATTTCAATGTTTCCTTCTAATAGTTTATAAGTTATACACTCTATTTTATGTAGATCTCCCTTAACACTTTCACTCACATATTTAACCTTACTGTACCAGTACTGTACTTATTCTGAATCTGTACCTCGACAAGAGCTTTGGCATGCTTTCCTCTGTCCCATAAACTACCTCCTTTTTTCATAACATCTATAATTTTAGTCCCAAATCGTTACTAATCCTTAAGCAGCCAACACGTTTTTAGACTTAGCAAATTTTTATCATTTTTGACTCATCATTGTTTCTTATATTCCATTTCCTGGATTAGTTTTTCTTCTTGCCAGAGAACATTAATTAGTAGTATTGTTTCAAAAAGGAATTGTTTCTGATGCCATATGATCTGAGACCTCCTATGTCATTAGGAAGTGTTTTTATTCTTAAATTCAGCTGGGTATAGAACTCTGAGTGTGCAATTATTTTCCCTCAGGATTTGGAGATAATTACTACCTTTTTTTCTTGTTTCTAGTATTTGTTACATTCTCTTACAAGTTGTCTGGTTTCTGTTTGGAAATATTTAGGCTTTAGTAAAACATCAACCCCTGTCCAGTGATAGATTCATCCTGCCTGGCCCTTGTGGCCTCTTTCAATCTGAGTTCCAGGACATTCTCAGCTTTGGGAAGTTCCCTCCAGCATCTTTGTCTCCTTTTGGACCAAAAAATGAACTCTGTCCTTTGCACCTACACCTTCGTCCCTCGTCCTTTCATGCTGTGAGTCCTCGGCTTAATCATCCAATGCATCTACTTGCTCTTCAACTGCGTCCACTAACCCATCCAGCCCATTTATCAAGTTTCTCCAATGACCAGATTTAATTTTCCAAACACTCTAGTTGGCCTTTTTGAGGTTGCAGTGTAAGACTAAGGCTCTCTGTCTAAGGCTATTGAGTATTCCTGCTCCAAGTTCTAGTTTTCATCATACCTGTTCCTTGGGTATCGTTCCCTTGTTCAGGCGTCCAACAACTGTTGGTACCTGAGGTTCACCCCAGCCACATAGCCCTCCCACATGTGCAAGAGCAGTCACCCCTAAACAATGCCCAATGTGCTGGGCTGGGGGCTCCCCACCCCCCTGGGGCCCTGCCCAGCCCTTTAGCCTGGCTCCCACACTCAACCCCCCAAACACAGATGCCTGTCTTCTCTGCTTGGCCCAGGTGTGTGTGGGGGTTGGGGGTGATGAGGAAGAGGGCTCAGCTTACCCGGTGGCTCCCACTAAGGTGCCCTAAACAGGTGTCCTGTGAGAAGCCGGGCCCCTGGAGCCTCAGACCCCGCCCCCCCAGGCTCCCTCCTTCCCCAGGCCCCACTGCCGCCCACATTTAAGGTGTTCCCCACAGTCTCAGGTCCACCTCCTGGAAGGGAAATTTGTCCCACATGGCTGGGGCCTGGAACCATGGCAAGCGGTGGGGTTTCAGTGCGAGTCATCCACACTTGGGGCTCCTTTCTCCCATCCCGGCCTCAAGCAGCAGCTGTGGGTGGTGGGAAGGGCACAGCCTTTGGCATTTGGACCAAACTCAGGCTCCACATTTCACAAAATTAAAATGAACTTATCTTACTCAACCTTGTGGTTAAGATGGACAACTTGGTTTGCACTCAGCACTCCCCCTGCTCTCAACTCTTTCCACTCGCTTAGCGGGTACTCCCATCCCCCAGCATCTGAGTCCAGGCAGTTAGTGCCGAGGAGGTCCGAGGAGGACAGAGCCATGGCCCAGCAGCCCTTGTTTAAGTCTGAGGTCAGGGGCTCCGATGCCACCAGGGTCCAGGACTCCTGGGTCGTGGGGCAGGGAAGAACCCTCAGCTCCAATCAGAGCAGTCATGCCCCCCACTTGGCCCCTGGGCCAGACCCCTGGGTGCCTCACCCTGGAAGGAATATGTCCACCTGTAAACGCATCTGAGGGCTCCTGCTTGCACCTCTGGTTCGCATGGAGCCCGTGAAGGAGGGGAGCCAGGAGGTGAGGCTGCTACCACAGAGGCCTCCAGGAGAACAGGGAGGGACACTTGAGGTCTCCCAGCTGGACCCACCTGGACCTCAGTCTACCTCCTGGTCTATCCCTGGGGTTCAAACCGCTCCAAGCCCTCTGCTTTCAGGTACTGTCCACTCAGCCGTCAGCAGCCGGAGTCCCCTCTGTGCACAGCCTAGGCCCTGCCCACAGAAGTTTTCAGAACCAGGACGATGGGTCCAGGAAGGTCTGATCTGAGCGCCTGGCTCCCTCCGGCCTGAGGTGAGAGCAGCCAGTGCTGGTTCTCTGGCGGCATCCGGTGTCCATATGTATGAACTGCAGCTCCCGCACCGGAGGACACCACCTGCGAACTGTCCTTCCAGAAGGAGGGTCAGGTAGGGAGGCAGCCTCACGAGCAGCGATCCTTTGGACCCACGTCTCTCACAATAAGAACTTTCATCACTTCCAGCCTCTTTAGGCCCCAACCTGTGGGTCCAACCCAGCACTGCACAACCAAATCAATGATTTTTTTATTTCACCAAAATTGCCAACAAGGCCAAGGTGTTGGCTGGGGAGGTGATTGGTTCCCATTTCTACGAATTTCTATCCTTAAGCATTTCTATCATTCGTCCCAGCATGGCCCAGTCCTTTGAGGCAAGCAGGTGTGTGAGCCTGTAGGCCTGCCCCCTCCCCTCTGAGGCCCGGCCCCCAGGACAAGGCAGCTTTGAACAAAAGTCTGCAAATGCGGCTGCTGGGGCCCCTTGTTCCCTAGGGCACAGCGCTGGGGAGACAGTGACCTGACTCCCCACAAGGTCAGGGGGCAGCTGTGTGCAGAAAACCTTCTAAATGGAAAATGGACATGAGACACAGGAGTGATACACCCCAGGAACTGGGGGGCGCAGGGCATCTGGGGTGTGAGGGGCGTCTGGGGGTGCGGGGAGTCTGGGGGTGTGGAGCGTCTGGGGGGTGCAGGGCATCGGGGGTGTGTGTGTCAGGCACAGGCCAAGGTGCCAGGGACCTGCACACATGCCTGATGCAGAAGCAGGGTGATGTCTCAGCTACTTGGGGGTCATGAGCATGATGGGTGTTTGAGGCTTGTGGCTGAGATAGGTTTTCTGCTGGCCAGGACACAGCCCTCAGCTCAGTGGACACCCAGGGTCCAAGCTTGTCCACGGTGGCCAGGGGGACGGGTGGGGGCCGCTACTCCAGGAGCCCAGAAGTGGGCTTAGGAGTCCTTCCTTCTCTTTCTTCCCCGAGGTTGCCTGTGCCCCCAGTCATCACTGGCTTCCCATCATCACGTGCACACGCACAAGCGCACACACACCTGCGTCCATTTCAACAGGCTGTGCTGCCACCAGGTGGCCAAGTCAGGACCAGTGCCCTGGGTTCCTGTCAGAGCCTTCCAAGTCCACTGTTCTGGATGCCAGGGCTCTGGCCACAAGGGCTCCAGCCACTGGGGCTCTGGTCACCGAACCTCCCCCCACCTTGTGTCACTAAGCAAGTCCATTCTTCCATCAAGCAGCAACGTTGTGGAATAAATGTCCCTGTTTTCTGCAACCATTTCTTATGGGGGCTGACCAACCCTGGAAGAGGCTCAGAGACATGTGGTTTGGCCCAGGTCCCCGCAAATTGGTGGCAAACCAGGCCCTACCCTCCTGGCTCCCACTTCCCGCCCCCTCCCGCGGCCTCTCCCCTGAGGCCTCTGCGGGGGCTGAGCTTACCTCAGCCCTACTCGCTGGGTGGCCTGGGCTCACCTGGAACCTCTCTGAGCCCTGGACTCCTGGGATGGTTGTGGGCAAGACCAAAGGTATAAACACACTAAAACTCAGTCATGCGGGTTCATGTTCATTTCTATCTGTTGTTGTTCAGTCACTCAGTCATGTCAGACTCCTGGTGACCTCATGGACTGCAGCACGCCAGGCTTCCCTGTCCCTCTCTATCTCCCAGAGTTTGCCCAAACTCATGTCCATTGAGTTGGTGATGCCATCCAACCATCTCATCCTCTGCTGACCTCTGGTATGCCTCCTGCGCCCCCCAACCCCATGTAAAGTGCTTGCAAGCCGCGGGAGGGGTTATGAAGCTACATAAAGGACTCGTCAGTGTGCAGGATGTGGTGACACTGGGATGGGTTCCAACTGGGGAAACTGACCCAGAAAGTGGAGAAACACCCTGAGTCTTTCTGCCCAGGAGCTTCTGCTCCTCCCAGGGACTCTACATCTTGAGTCCAGAATATCTACGTTTTCAAGGGGTCAGTCTCCACTCTCCATGGAGCTGAGGCATTCTGAGATCACGTGATGGAGCCCCAGCACCCTCCTGGTCGGGACCCGCCTGCCGCTTCCCCATCCTTCCTCCCGGCCGATATAGGCCGGGAGCCTGAGGGGCAAGCAGGGGGTTCCTGGAGGGCAGCTGTGGGGAAGACAGCAGGAGTAGATGAGAAAGCGCAGGCAGGAGGCTTCTTCTTAAGGGGCTGCTTCCCACTCAGGGACATCACGGCCGCCAGGATGGCCACCTCCATCAAGTCAGGGCCTGGCATCCCTGACCCCGTGCAGCCCGTGGCAAGGCAAACCTGCCAAGCTGCGCCTCCTACCCGCCTCTCACCTCTCAGCTCCCAGCTGGACACCCAGGGACCAGACGCAGAGGGCCTTGGGGTGGGGACTAAGAACAGCATTTATTGTTCATGCCTCCGCGAACCCCCAGGTTGGAGTGGGGGCCAAGCCCTCCAGCCAGTCAGAGGCCGGGCTGTGAGACCCCCTGCATGAGGCCAGCATGACCTGGAACTCGCACCATGTTGCTGGATCCAGGCAGGTGCCTGGGGGAGACCCCACTGGGTGTCGGGCAGGCGGCAGGGGCTGAGGTTCAGAGGGGCCGCTCAACCATCTGCTCCTGCATCGTCCTCAGACCAGGTAGCTGCCGGCAGGGAGGGGGCTTCCCTGAGGGAGGGGAGGACTGCCCCACCAAACAATGCCCCAGCTCCTCCCAGACCAGAGGCCTGAGGTTGGCCTGGGCGCCCGGTGTCCTGTCCAGGCCCCTGGGCCCACCCTGCACTGAGGTCCGTGGAGGGCCCGGCCAGGCAAGTACAGGGCCAGGGCTCAGCCCAGCTCAGTGGGGCCGCTTGCTGTCCAGAATCGCCCTCCAGTCATCTGCCCATGAGTGCAGCCTGCGGCTGGGGGGCTGCAGCTGTGTGTGGCGGTTGTGACAGGCTGTGAACAGGATGTGCTCCCAGCTGGGGTTCGGCTCGGCCCCTGGGGGAGAGAGCAGCACCTCAGGCCCATGGCAGGAGCCCCAGGGGGGTCACACCAGCCCGCTGGACAAGGACCCCCTTGCAGCCCTGGACCCCATCGCAGGTGCTCATTGGAGGCTGACCCTCGAGATGCCCGCCTGAACTGCCCCCATGCCCAGGCCAGCTTTGTCACCAGCTGTTGACCATGGGCCCTATAAGTCCCTCAAGCTTCAAGTCCCTTGTGTGGATTCCACTTTCTGGATGCTTATTGGGGTAGAGATGAGGATGTCTTCCCAGCCAGTTCCAAAAGTCATCAGGGAAGGAATGTATCAAATTTTCCCACTGAGGTGTCCAAGAAAATAGGATTTAACCCCGAAACTGCTGACGACCACCAGCAGGGGAGCATCTGCCAGAGCAGGCAGGCAGAACCAGGAGATAAAGAAACCGAATCTGATGGATGTTGTCTGAGCTCCTAGATTCAGCCATGCCTGAAGCCCTTCCAAGAAGAAGAAATGTAAAAAAGCAAAATGGTTGTCTGAGGAGGCCTTACAAATAGCTGAGAAAAGAAGAGAAGCAAAAGGTAAAGGAGAAAAGGAAAGATATATCCACTGAATGCAGAGTTTCAAAGAATAGCAGGAAGAGATAAGAAAGTCTTCCTAAGTGATCAATGCCAAGAAATAGAAGAAAACAATAGAATGGGAAAGACTAGAGATCTCTTCAAGAAAATGTGAGATACCAAGGAAACATTTCATGCAAAGATGGGCACAATAAAGGACAGAAGCAGAAGATACTAAGAAGAGGTGGCAAGAATACACGGAAGAACTATACAAAAAAAATGACCCAGATAACCACAATGGTGTGATCACTCACCTAGAGCCAGACATCCTGGAGTGTGAAGTCAAGTGGGCCTTAGGAAGCATCACCATGATCAAAGCTAGTGGAGGTTATGAAATTCCAGCTGAGCCATTTCAAATCCTAAAAGATGACGCTGTGAAAGTGCTTCACTCAATATGGCAGCAAATATGGAAAACTCAGCAATGGCCACAGGACTGGAAAAAGTCAGTTTTCATTCCAATCCCAAAGAATGTTCAGACTACCACACAACTGCACTCATCTCACATGTTAGCAAAGCAATGCTCAAAATTCTCCAAGCCAGGCTTCAACAGTACATGAACTATGAACTTCCAGATGTTCAAGCTGGATTTAGAAAAGGCAGAGGAAGCAGAGATCAAATTGCCAACATCCCTTTGATCACAGGAAAAGCAAGAAAATTCCAGAAAAACATCTACTTCTGCTTCATTGACTACGCTAAAGCATTTGACTGTGTGGATCACAACAAACTGTGGAAAATTCTTAAAGAGATGAGAATACCAGATTATCTTACCTGCCTCCTGAGAAATTCATATGCAGGTCAAGAAGCAATAGTTAGAACTGGACATGGAACAATGGACTGGTTCCAAATTGAGAAAGGAGTATGTCAAGGCTGTATACTGTCACCCTGCTTATTTAACTTATATGCAGAGTACATCATGTGAAATGCCAGGCTGGATGAAGCATGAGCTGGAATCAAGATTTCTGGGAGAAATATCAATAACCTCAAATATGCAGATGACAGCACCCTTATGGCAGAAATCAAAGAGGAACCAAATAGTCTCTTGATGAAAGTGAAAGAGGAGAGTGAAAAAGCTGGCTTAAAACTCAACATTCAGAAAACAAAGATCATGGCATCTGGTCCCATCACTTAATGGCAAATGGATGGAGAAACAATAGAAACAGTGACACACTATTTTCTTTCGTTCCAAAATCACTGCAGATGGTGGCTGCAGCCATGAAATTAAAAGATGCTTGCTCCTTGAAGAAAAGATATGACAAACCTAGACGCATATTAAAAAGCAAGAGACATTACCAACAAAGGTCAGTCTAGTCAAAGCTATGGTTTTTCCAGGAGTCATGTATGGATATGAGAATTGGATCATAAAGAAAGCTGAGCACCAAAGAATTGATGCTTTTGAACTTTGGTGTTGGAGAAGACTCTTGAGAGTACCGTGGACTGCAAGGAGATCCAACCAGTCAATCCTAAAGGAAATCCATCCCGAATGTTTATTGGAAGGACTGATGCTGAAGCTGAAGCTCCAATACATTGGTCACCTGATGTGAAGAACTAACTCATTGGAAAAGACCCTGATGCTGGGAAAGACTGAGCTCAGGAGGAAAAGGGGACGATAGAGGATGAAGTGGTTGGATGGCATCACCAACTTGATGGACATGAGTTTGAGCAAGATCTGGGAGCTGGTGATGGACAGGGAAGCCTGGCGTGCTGCAGTCCATGGGGTTGCAAAGAGTTGGACACTATTGAGTGACTGGATTGAACTGAACTGAACTGAACTGAAGCCCTCCCACCCCAGCTTTTCAGTTTGATGAACCAATCATTTCCCCTCGCCGTGATAAGCAAATTCAAGGTTTGTTTATTTTGGGGGGAGGGGGACACCCATAAGCAAAAGGGAAAAATACAGCTCCCAAACCACCTTCAACTACAGAAATTAGGTTTTGCTTTCCTGGTTTACATATTAGATTCAGTCCAAATTACTCTTGAGGAAAAAAGAAAGGATTCTGTTGCTAAAAAGAAATGTTTGGAAGCCAGAGTCTGGCCCTCATTTGACAGGAACGCAAGGCTTCAAGGTGTATAGTGACTGGATCAAGGCTGCCCAGTGCATTAGCCCTGGGCTGGACTGCTCTCCCTGACTCCCTGGGGATGCATGTGGGGAAGAAGCTTGTCTCCCTGAAAGGGAGGAGGCTCAGCTTGAGGTTCAATGCTGGACAAGACACCTCACACAGATCTGGTGACTATGGGGCTGGGGGATGGACACTTGGGTTGGGGCCCCCCTGCCTGCCCTTCCCCCACTTCAGGCCACTTGCCTGTGATGTCCACCCGGTCATCTATGAGGAGGTCAGCGGAGACCACGGTCTTGTCTCTGGTCAGCACGATCTGCTCCAGGAAGTCAGGGCCGAAGTGCTTCTCCACCCAGGCATACTGGAACGAGAGCGGGCCAAGCGGAGGCGGTGCTGTGAAGCCAGGGCACCACCAGGGAGACTACCCATGCGCAGGGGACCACAGGGCCGTCCTAGTCCACAGCTCTGAAGTGGCAGTACCGAAGCTCCGACCAGACACCCCAGCCTAGCTCAGGTCCCCCATGCACCCTGCAAGGCTCCAGCTCAAGGAAACGGGATGCAACCCTTAGGTGCATCATCCCTTCCAGAAGCCCTGACCACCTGCCTTCCAGCCGTACCCGAGCTTTGGTCTGGAGGCCACATGAGAACTGGACCCACAGTGGGAATGGGTGTGCGGTGCCAGAGCCAGTGGTACGGGCGTGTCTGGGGGCTCCCCGGACACCCTGCTCCTAGTGACCTTCCCCAGCAGATGGGGGACCCCACACAAAAGGCCATGCAGCCTACTTTTCTTAAAGCCCCCCATGGTCACAAAGTAACACAAACATCCCAGAATAACTGGGTGCCATCAGGTCCACAAAACGGCTTTGCAAGCCTATCTCCTTGCCAAACTGGGTCTATGAGAACAAGCTGACATCTGGACCATGCACCCGGCCAGGACTCGGACACCCAATGCCTTGCTTTGCTTAAAAACCCTTCAGAGGCCTTGGGGTGCCTGTTGCTTGAAGCCCCAACCCCTGGTTCTGTAAAGGCCCTGCCTTTCAGCCTCTCCCTCCCCCTCCCGCTTCTGCCCCTGCCCCTACCCCAGGTCTCTTGGCCTTTGCTCAGCTGTTTCACCACTCACAAATGGTCCTCCCAGTTCCTCCTTTCCCCAGGGAGCCAGCCTGGGCTCCTGGGCTTCCTCCCTGCTGGACCACAGAGCCTGGGACACCTGTCTCTCTTCCTGCCGCACTGTCCTCAGCTCCCAGGCATTTTTAAGCCCCAGATGCCCAGTGTTGTAGCAGGGTAACAGTTTCCTGAATGACAAATGTACTTACTTTTTTATTGCTAAAGTAATGGCTAATCAAAGAGATTTTGAAAAATCAAGGAAAGTCAGAGAAACATCTATAGTTGACAGAATTTCCTTCCTTCTTTTTTTTTTTAACATTTGGGAGGAGGCCCCGGCCCAGACCCCCAGGCGGGCTGGAGGGGAGGGTCCCAGCCCTTCCCCAGGATGCAGGCAAGGTGAGCAGAGGCCCCGCGGCAGGTGTCTCACCTTCTCGAAGGGACAGTACTTGTACATCTTGATGGGGCTCGTGCAAATGAAGACGTCAGTGCTGGGGAGAGAGCAAGCAGGTGAGGCTGTGTGCCCACAGCCCCTCAGCCTGGGCCCACACCTCCCCCAGCCCCCCGCCATGGCCCCGGCCACCACGTGGGACACCAGCCTGGGGCCTGCAAAGCACATGGCAGCCCCCATGCAGCCAGCCACGCAGAGGTGAGGAGCCACCACCCCAGAAGTGGCAGGAACTACTGGGGAAGGTGAGCAGCATCCAGCCAGGGAGGCTTTACAGGACAGAACCAGTTATCAGGGACATTGGGCCCCGCTCAGCACAGAGCCAAGAATCCTGCAAGCCAGAGTCTGGGTCAAGGCTGGTCTTCCTGGGCCCTCAGGGACCCCTGAGGTCTGTGCTGCACCAGCGCCTCCTACAACCCCAGACCAAGCACCCACCAACAGTGCCAGCGGGTCCCCTGCCCCTCGGGGTCGCACCCGTGGGACACTGGGTCCCGGCTCCTTCTCTCTGAAAAGCGGTCCCGAGAGGCCTCAGTCAGACTGCAGCCCTGGGTCTCTCCTGCTATGTCCCTGTGGAGTTGCCTGTTCCGGACATTTCGTTACAGGAACCCCACAGCATGTGGTCTTGTCCTTTGGGGTCATGTTTTCAAGAGCACTGGAACTTCAGGCCTCTTTAGTGCCCGGTGACATCGTAGTGACGCACATGCTACCAGGTTGGAGGGCGCAACTACTTCCCCCCGAGCATCGAGCTGCTGGGGACGCCCGTGCTCAGGGCCTGGTGGATCTGCACCTCCGTTTCTCTCGGTACGACTGCTGGGTTACAGCCGGCTCCATGCCCCGGGGACATGGCTGCTGAGGCAACAGCTGCATGTTTCCATCCCACCATAGGCAACAAGGACTCCAAGCTCCCTCCATCCTTGGCTAAACTCGTCTTTCTTGTCATAGTCGTTCCGTGGGCTTCCACAGTAGAATAACGCTGAGGCAAACTTCACATGCCTAGTTGCCATCTGGAGCTCTTCTTTGGAGAAATGCCAAACTCAGCACCTGAGCCCGTGGTTTTAAAACCTAAGTGAGATGACACCCTTCTCTCTTCAACCACGTGCCCCACATCCTTCCTGCTCCACACTTGCTGAAACCTTGGTCTCCTTTATTACCAAGTCAGCAAAGCCCTTCCCCTCCCGGGGCCTGTACCTCTGCCCACTCTGATCTTCACTATTCACTTCAACCCTGCAGGTCTAGGGTCAGATGTCACCTTCTTGGAGAAGCATCTGCACCTGAACGAGCCCCTCCCGGGAAACCTCCAACACAAAGCATTAGACACAAGGCTATCCACTTGGTTATGACTCGACCCCTCTCTCCGTGCAAACTTTGGGGACAGACTGATCATCAGAATTGTCTACCCAGCTAAGATCCAGCTGGGATCTTAGGGCCAATGCATGTCGCAGGTTGGAATTTCTGCAAAATAGAGCAGCTGAGAAAAAGCTCCAGAACCCACATGCCCCCTCTGCCACCCCCTAAAGAATCCTCAAACACGTCTGCAAACTAACAAGTTCTGGGACCCCACCCCACCATGAAAAGGAACCTCTCATAGAGGTTCCTCTTCCCTATGCTGCTTTGGCCAAAGGACACTCTTCTTCCTGCTCACCTATTAAATTCTATCAAGTAGTAACAGTGGCAGGTAATGTTTATACTGTGCGCATTTTACAGATGAAGAGATTGAGTCGCAGAGAGTTTAGAAACGTGCTATGGGTTTGATTCTGGAGAAGTGGACTCACTCTGGTTCACACTCAGCCTTAACCACATGCAACCCAGCTCCCCAGACCACAGCTGGTAAATGTAGTCCAGACAAGAACAGAGCTTTTAAAGCTTTATATGGGACTCCCCTGGGGGTCCAGTGCTTAAGAATCACTGTGCAATGCAGGGGACACATATTTAATCCCTGGTTGGGGAACGAAGATCCCACATGCTGCAGAGCAACTAAGTCTGCACGCCACAACTAGAGAGTCCACGTACTGTGACCAAAGATCTCACATGATACAACCAAGACCCAAAACAGCTGGAAAAAAAAAAAAGGCTTTGGTGCAAAAGCTTTTTTACACGTTCTCTGCCTCTCTGGGTTTTTGCTACAGGTAGAAGAAGTTGTATCACACCACTCCAGTGTAAATCAAGTTTAAATCATAGACTAGAATAGAATATACTGCTCAGAGGGCCTGAATTCAAGACTAAAGATAAATTATCAACCAAACCAGCCTACAAGTCAACACAAACAAAGTGTTTTCTGCTTCTCTGATGTCTACTTATCATGTGAGAACCTTGAAAGCTGATGAAGTTCAAAGGCAGTTACATGGCATGTGCATACGTGCTAAGTCGCTTCAGTTGTATCCAACTCTGTGCGATCCTATGGACTGTAGCCTGCCAGGTTCCTCTGTCCCCGGGATTCTCCAGGGAATAACACTGGGGTGGGATGCTGTGTCCTCCTCCAGGGAATCTTCTCAACCCAGGGGTTGAGCCCATGTCTCTCATGTCTCCTGAATTGGCAGGTATGTTCTTTACCAGCAACACCACCTGGGAAGGCCAGTTACATGGCACAACCAAGGCCAAATCACACCAAATATTTGATTTGTCATTGTGACTACTAAATTCAAGCAAATCTGTGACCAATAAAAGTTATGCAAGCCTAGAAAGAAATCCTAACATTTATGTGCAATTGACTTTTGACAAGGAAGCCAAGACCATTCCAAGGAGGAAAAGAAGGGTCTTTTCAACAAATGACTCTGGGACAACTGGATTTCCCACATGAAAAAGAAGGAAGTAGGACCTCGCACCACATGAAAAAAATTAACTCAAAATGAATCAAACAAACTGAACATAAGAGCTAAACCTATACAACTCTTAGAAGAAAACACAGGAGCAAATCTTTGTGACCTTGGGTTAGGCAGAGGATCCTTACAGATGGAAACAAAAACACAAACAGCAAAAGAAAATAAGAGATAAATTTAACTACATAAAAATAAAAACTTTGGGTTCCAAAGGACACCAGCAAGAAAGTAAAACAATAATCAGAGAATAAGAAACTGTATCTGCAAGTCATATATCTCACAAAGGACTTGTTACCCAGAATATATAAAGAGCTCTTAAGAGTTAACAATAACAAAAACGACAAATAACCCAATTGAAAAAAAGTTAGCAAAAGATCTGAATAAACATTTATCCTAAAAGGACAGACAGCTGATATGCACACCAAAAGAAACTGCATAGCATTTGTCTTCAGAGAAATGCAGATTAAAACCACAGTGAGACATCACATCACACCCACTAGGATGGCTAAAATAAAAAAGACCATAGCTAAATAAAATAAATATATTTTTTAAAAAAGAGACTTCCCCGGTGGTCCAGTGGGTAAGACTCCACCCTCCCCATGCAGGGGGCCTAAGGTTCAATCCCTGGTCAGGGAACTAGATCCCCCCACATGCTGCAACTAAGACCTGGTGCAGCCAAATAAATAACAAATAAAATAAATATTAAAAAAAAATAAAAGACTACAGCCAGGGTTGGGAGGAGGAGTTGAATCCCTCTAATGTTACTAGTGGGAATGTAAAATGTACAGCTGAAAACAGTTTGGATTCAGCCCATGACCCGGCAGTTCCACTCCTGGGTACACACCTAAGAGAATAAAAACAAGCAACCACAAAGACCTGTAGGTGAATGTTCACAGCAGTGTTAGTCTCCATATTTAAAAAGAAGAACACCCCAAGGTCTACCAGTTAATGAAAAGATGGACAGAACATGGCGGGGCCACAGGACTGACAGCCACTTGGCAGTGAAATGAGACAAAATGCTGATTCACCCTGGGACACAGATAAACCTGGAAACATGCTGAGGGAAAGAAGTGGCCACAGAAGGCCAGATACCATAAGAAATGTATATGAAACGCCCAGAAGAGGCAAATTCAGGGACAGAAGGCCTACTGTGGTTGACATGGGCAGTGGGGGGAGGGTGACTGTGGATGGTCCAGGGTTTCTCTGGGGGGGATGGGGAGCTGATAGGCTGTGAAGCTGATGATGGTGATGGATGAACACCTCTGTGACTCTGCTTAAAACCACTGGGTGTGGGCTGCGTGAATTACATGTCAGTAAGACAACTGTTTTTTAAGCTCTCAGAGGAGGAGCACTGTATTACTGGATTGCAGCGGGCACTGGTTCCGGGTGCAGGGGGGGCTTCAGCTCACAGGGTCAGGCGGATGTCTCCCCCTCCTCCTGCTGCCACCTCCTCCCATCTCTGCCAGGTTCCCATCGCACCCTCTCACATGGCCCTGTGTTATCACAGTCTTCCCGACTGATGCTCTGCTCACCGCCTGCTCCCTGGCTGGACTGTAAGCTCCAGGGTAGCAGGGAACGAGTCTAACAGTTGGTTCTCAGGGATTTGCTGAATAAATTAACCCAGGACACCCAGCGAAGCACATCAAACTAGACTCCACATTCTCCCAAGTTACTAAATGGAAGCATCTTAGCCTGCAGAGAGGCCCTGGCGGACTGAACAAGCCAGCCCATGCAGGGTGCAGGGCAAGCGAGAGGAAGACAGGCAGAGGGCACGCGGGAAGGGGTGTGGACCCTGGGTCGGGACAGACTTACCTCTCCAGGTTAGCCATCTGTTTCACGGCTTCCACAGCCCCTGGGAGAGGTTCGAGGTCAAAGAAGAAGTTCTCAGACTCCCAGATGCTGATGGCCTTCTCCTGAGAAGAGGGGGAAAAAAAGCAGGTGACGCCCGGGGTCCTCAGCACCCTGAGCCCCACACCCAAGGACAGTCTTCCCGAAGGCAGGTGGGTGGAGGGGCATGTGCTCCAGGAGGGACCCACCTTCTGCAAGGATCTGGCAGGGGCCAGCTACAGGGTTCAGAAGATGGCTTTGCTGGCAGCCTCACGGGAGTCAGAGGGCGGGAAGGCTGGCCTTCAGGAACCACGTCCTTGCCTGTCTAAGGGCCAGGGCACCCTGGAGGTCGTGAGGGCAGGCCGGGTCCTGCCTTGATGCTGAAGCCCTCACTCACGTTCAGTAGCTGGAGGAGCTCAGGCCTTTCAGATCCCCAAGGAATGGGGGCATGGGCAGAAGGTGAGCTCTGCTCAACACCAGCAGAGCAGCTCCTTATCTGTGCTATGTGTTGGGATACCAATAAACACTGTGTTTTTTTTTTTTTTTTAAAGTATTCTGCTGTTTTAAAGAAGTCCCAAATGCAGACCCTCATTTCACATGTGAGAAAACCAAGGCTCAGAATGGGGACAAGACTGACTTAATGTCACTCAGCAAAATGGTGGCTTCCAAACACCTGGCGAGGAGCGCCCACCTTACGCTGCTGGCCAAATTCAAGTCTGCAGAATGCCACTTCCTTCCAAGGCCAGGCCAAGAGGAAAGTGACAAACCCCAGCCTCTGAGAAGCAAGAAACAGATCCCCCATCAGGTCAGAAGTCCCCCATCCCAGAACAAGTGCTGCCCCCACAGTGAGCACACGGAGGTCACACAGGTCAGAGGTTCTCAATGGATTTAAGCAAACCAGTGCTTATTGCTAACATACACTATGTCTGACTCTCACATCCCTCAAGGGGCAAGAACTGCCATCCCCAGGATACAAATGAGGCAGCTGGGCTTCACAGGCTTTTTTCAAAGCCACTTGAAAATTTTTTTCAAGTTCAGAACTTGAACTTGGGTCTTCTGACTCTAAGGGGTGTGGTGCCAGTGTGACTAGTGGAAAGCAGGCTCGAGGAGGAGTCAGAAGTGCTGGCCCTGGTGGTGTGACCTGGGGCTAACCACTTCACCTCTGACCAACGACCCAGCTTCCCTCCCTACCCCCAACCTGCTCTGAAACCCTGGTCAAGGCATTTCCTCTCTCTGGGATCAGTTCAACTGTCCAACAGTGTAAGATTCTAAGTCAGTTACAATGAGCTATGCCTTCCTCTTCCCTGCTTACCCCTTGGCATGTGAAGATCAAAGGAAATACAGACAAACACATGTTTTGTAAACCATGGATGCCTCCATGTGTAAGCTGGGTGCTTACATGGGTGCCTGACTGGGTGCTTTTCAGGCAGACACTGGACCAGTTGTGCCAGGGGAGACCCAGGGAGGTCCTGCCGTGAGTGGGGCTGGAGATCAGGTCACATGTGCCTCTATCAAAGCCCTGTTGCCTGCAAGGTTCCCAGGAGCTGAAATGCACAGCAAGCTCTCGGAGTAGCGCTTGTTGGTGCCCCTGGAGCTCTGCTCCCAGGCCTTGGAAACCAGTAAATCATCCCCTCAGAGCCAGAGTCTGCACATGGGAGCAAGGGACTGGAAGAGCCACTGGCCTGAGAGCTGGGGGTGGGCTTCCCTTCCGCATGGTAAGGCGGTCCTGGGAGGAAAGAGGTACTGTGACTGCACTGCTGAGCACCCTCTGTGAACGAACACATCCAGGGTGGAGGAGGATGTCAGAGCCTGCAAAGTTACTAGGGTGTTTTCTCCGGTCTACGGTTTTTAACTGGGTATCAGGACTGGGAGGAGTCAGCACCCCAGGCTTGGGGGAAGGTCACCTTCTGAAGCGCCTGGTGTTCATGAAGAGAAGGGGCACTTGATTTCCTTTGGAACACTGGCCCCTCCACAAACCAGAGTTCTGTCAAGATGCTGCTCGTGAGTCACAGAACTGGCACTTGTTGGGGGAGGACAGAGGACAGGACTGGATGACCTTGGCACGCAGAAGGACCGTTGGATCCTGGCTGCCCCTTCCACAAGGGAGAAAATCAAGCCTGCCTCAGAGAGGAGGGGATGCAGACTAGCTGGGTTACAGAACAGGCTCTCAAATCATATCAGCTCTCCTGGTAGCCATCTCAGAAGGCCCGCTGAGGGACAGCAGAAAACACTGGGCCTCTAGGTTGGTCCAGGGCAAAATCTGGCTCCTGTCACCAAGCAATTTAAATGTACAAGCCAAGCCATCTGTCTGGGAGTGAGCCTGGTATCTCCTCTCCATACACCATGGACTCAGAGAGTAGAGCACTGTGGGAGGGGGCCTGTCAGAGCCCAGGTGCTCAGGGGGGCTGGCAAGGCCAGTGGATAAGGCAAGGAGTAGATCCAAACCCACCGTGATACTGACTCCCTGTGTGCTGTGATGTCCAGAAAGGCTCACAAGCTCTCTGGGCCTAATTCTACTGGGAGCCACGCTTTGCTGTAAAAGGGCGAAAAGAATGGATGCTAAAGATGCTCATCAAATCCACGAGGAGGAAGAAACAGGAATGTGACTTGAGGCCAGGTACACCCAAAATTAAAGTCAGTTGAAGATGGAGAGTTGGATATATTACGTTTTATGTACTCCTGAATTTTGAGAAGCCCTTGATGACAGCCAACAGCGTGGCCCCCCAGGACTCGGTGCTACGGGAGGCGAGCCCCAGAGGCACGCGCGCCCGGGGCGGGGATGCTCACGCTCAGCCCGGGCTGCAGGCGGCCGTACTGCTCCGACACCCAGAAGCCGCGCCGGTCCTCCAGCGCGATGAAGGGCTGGTCGGGGAAGCGCGCGCGGAACTTCCTGAGGAAGCCGCCCTCGAAGTCGGCCAGCACGCCGTCCATGTCCACCAGCACTCGCAGGGCGCGGCCAGCAGGCCCACCCGACGCCCAGCGCCGCCCTGCCGGCCCCGCCGCGCCGCGGGGCCTCCGCGAGCACCAACCGCACAGGCGGATCATGGCCCCAGGCGGGCGCTCTTCGCGGGCACCGGGGCCATGACTGCGGGAGAAGACACTGCGGGCCTGGGGGCCGGGCGCGGGGCGCGCGGGGTGCGGGCAGCGCACGGACGCGCGCGGCGCCGTGGGCGCGCGGGGTACGGGCGGGGGGCGCGGGGCGCGGGGGGCAAGAGCGCGCAAGCTCCGGCCCCAGAGCGAGGCTGCTGTTTCGCCGCCCTTAAAGGGACCCGCGCCGACCGAGGCGGGCCCGAGGGGCGTGGCCTGGAGGATAGTCCAGGGCTCTGGGCTGTCCCCGGGGCGTCCGCAGTCCCTGGATCTCCACTGGCACCTTCTCCTGGGATTCTGCGCCTGGGCTCCCTCCTCCAACTGCCACAGCGAGGATGGAGCAGGCCTGTGTCGCAGAGACGTTTACTGAGCCCCTAGAGCGTCTCTCAGTGGAGCATATGGACGAGGTCCTGCCATCTTGGAACTTACATCTTAGAAGGGGAGATGGACAGGAGGCAAATAAGCCAAGTACACAGGCAGAAGAATTTAAGGGAGGGAACCAGAACAGGGTGATGCGCCCCCTGCTTTATAGTGACTAGCTGGGGAAAGCTGCCAGAACAGACAGAAAGCCTTAATTAAACTGGCGACTTTCAAATGAATCCATAAATGAATATTGTTATGTACCCTGTTGTAAGTGGGTTTTGGGAGGAGACATTTAAAATCTTTTATTGTCACTCTGGTTGAAAAAGAGACAGTTACTATTGTTATAGACAAGCAATATTCAACAGACACACCAGGATCCTTCTCATTAACATTCTAGCCACACTAGCATTTTCTCAATTCCAGAAACACCAAATTTATCTGGGTCTTAAGACTTTGGCATACATTTATTCCTCGCTCTGAAACTCTCTGCCCAAGATCTCTTTTTTATTTATTGTATTTGTGTGACTGCCTTGGGTCTTAGTTGTGGCACCCCGGAATCTTAGATGCATCTTGTGGGATCTTTTTTTGTGGCATACCAGCTCCGGAGCTTCCGGGCTTAGTAGTTGCCATGCTCAGTTTTAGTTGCTCTGAGTCATGTGGGACCTTAGTTCCCCAACCAGGGATCAAACCAGTGTCCCCTGCATTGCAAGGCAAATTCTTACCTGCTAGACCACCAGGGAAGTCCCCCAGCTCTTTCTCACCCTTCTGAACTTGGAAGCATTTCCTGACCTTCCTCTACCCCATCACCATGTTTTATTTTCTTCATAACATGTGCTAACTCTCTGAAAGTATTTCATTTGCTTGCTTAGTGTCTTACTCTTCAACCAGAACTTCATGTCAGCAAGAACTTTCTGTTTAGATCACAGATATACGCAGCCCCGTCCTTGCATCTGGCACAGGGTTGGACACAGAGAAAGAAGTAAGTGTGTTTTCAAAGAATGAAAAACAGAGCTTCCCTGGTGGTACAGTGGATGGGAATCTGCCTGCCAGTGCAGGCGACACAGGTTCCTTCCCTGGTCCAGGAAGATCTCACAGGCCGCCGAACAGTTAAGCCCATGCACCGCAACTACTGCGCCTGTGCTGTAGAGCCCATGCTCCGCAACAAGTGAAGCCCCTGCAATGAGAAGCCTGAGCACCAAGACAAAGAGTAGCCCCACCTCTCCGCACCTGGAAAAAGCCCTCCTGCAGCAACAAAGACCCAGCACAACCAAAAGTAAATAATAAAATCATTTTTAATGAGAAAACAGATGATTGAATGTGGCATCTCCACTCACTTCTGTGGCTGTTTGTTGTAAGGTGTGTCTTATGTAATTGCCGGGTTTTATACATGACTAGCTTTTAAAGAAAAGGGGAAAATATATTCAAGGTTATCCCAGTAACCATGTCTTTTTCAGTCATTTTCATTCTTGAGAGGAAGAAAGAAGGGTGGGATGTCTCTTAGCAGTACTGAAATGAGTGTGATTTTATTTTTGGCTCCTCTTTGCTGCATCCAGGCCTTCTCAGACTTCAGTGTGCATCAAGGTTACCCGTAGGACTTGTTAAATTCAGACGGCAGGGCACCACCCTCAGAGTTTCTGATGTAGTAAATCTAAAGTGGAATCCCAGAAGTTTCCAGGTGGGACTTAGCTGGTAGTCCAGTGGTTACGAATTACCTTGCAATGTGGGAGACAAGAGATGGAACCCTGGTCAGGAAACTAACATCCCAAGTGCCACAGAGCAACTGAGCCCACGCACCAAAACTACTGTGCCACAACCAGTCTGTGCATGCCTGCCTGCTCAGCCGCTTTAGTTGTGTCTGGGCCTGTGCAACCCTATGGACTGTAGCCCACCAGGCTCCCCTGTACATGGGATTCTCCAGGCAAGAATATTGGAGTGGGTTGCTGTGCTTTCCTCCAGCAGATCTTCCCGACCTAGGGATTAAACCTGTGTCTTTTAGGTCTCCTGCACTGGCAGGCAGGTTCTTTATCACTAGCACCACCTGGGAAGCCCCAGAGAGTCTATGGGCCACAAGGAAAGATCCCACATGACACAAGGAAGACCTGACACAGCCAAATAAATAAATCTTAAAAAAAAAAGCTCCCAGGTGCTGCTGCTGCTCCTGGCTGGGGATCACACTTTGAGAAGAGATCCCACTAAATAGGCAAAAAAAATTGAAGTATGACTAGTCCAGTTTAGTTCAGTCGCTCAATCATGTGCGACTCTTTGCGACCCAGTGGACTGCAGCATGCAGTAGCTGTGGCTATTTTGAATTATGGTAGTGCTTAACCTCTCGAAACTGCTGGCTTTTATTAAAATCCATGTATATCCATGGAAATGCATCCTATAATTCAAAATATCTGTCCTCTGTTTGAGGACCAAATGTGGCCATACAGCATACAGGGACATCTCCATCCTAGAGTATAAGCATTAAAGTCATCCATCCATACATGTCATCATCTATACATTCATATATACAAATACATCCATTTACTTCTATCGCTATATCAACATACAATTATTACTATTATATTTCATGTCAACTGACTACTACAATAGCTTCTTAAATGACTCTCTGAAGTTATCCGTGAAGCCAGTCTTTTCCAAGTGCAAGTCTGATCATGCCACTCGCTTGCATGAAACCCTCCATGGCTCCCCACGCTTCTCAGGGAAAAATCCTGTAGCTTTAACACGGCTTACTTGACATGGCCCCTATTTATCTTGCAGCCCCATCTCACATCACCCCTCTCCAGCCATTAAGTGTTTTACGTAGTTTATCGTGAGAATTTTACAGATGGGGAAACAAGGCAGCGGACAGCCAAGGAACTTGCCGAGAGTCGTGGAGCTACTAAGTGGTAGAAAAGGGACTTGAAGGCAGGTTGCCTTCCTCGCTGGACAACTACTACTTGGCTGGAAAAGCCTCAGGGAAGAGGTTGCGATTAAGACAGGCGGGTTCCCTGGGTGGGGAAGATCCCCTGGAGAAGGAAATGGCTACCCACTTCAATATTCTTGCCTGGGAAATCCCACGGACAGAGGAGCCTGGCGGGGTACACAGTCCATAAGCTCGCAAAGAGTCGGACACGATAGAGCGACTGAACAACTAGGCGTTCAGTTCCTTCCTTTGCCCACCATCCCTGTTAAATCCAGGGAGCGACTTCACGAGTGCACAGGATGAAGACGGAAGGGAAAAAAACCTGCCTTCCGGCGCGGGCCTCCGCAGAACCGGTTCCATGGAAACCGTAGCCTGGTCCAGGTAGGTAGATCTCGCGGCGCTTGAGCGACGGAAGTGACGTCACCTCCCTGAGGCCCTCCGGTGGGTCGCCGGCCCTCGTCCAGCGCGCGCCGCCTCCGCCGCCCGGCTGCCGGGAACATGGCGTCCGCCCTGGAGCAGTTTGTCAACAGCGTCCGCCAGCTCTCCGCCCAAGGTGAGGCGATGGGCGCGGGCCGCGAGCCTGCGTCCGGGCTGCGGCTGGGGTCTTGGCGCTTGGGCCGGGGCAGAGGAGCGCGCGAGATGGGCGACCCCTTCGCCCAGGCCCCGGCCTCCGCCCCCCGCCGTCGGAGCTCCGTTCGTCTCGCCTCCCAGAGGCCCTTCCCGACCTGGCCGCGCGGCCGAGCCCCTCGCGGCTGGCCGCGCTCGACCCCCGGGGGGCCCTGGCTCCCGGCTCCCTCTTGGGGGGGCGGAGTTGTGGCCTTTGTGAATTTGCCCCTAATTTTCATGCCTTTGGTTGGTTCCTCTCATCGCCTGAGTGTCGTCCCCTGGGCCTAGAATTAAAGTAATTGGCCGCTGTCGTGAGGCCACTTTCCTCACCCTGTTGGTTCATCTGTGAAATAGAAACGTCCGGACTGCGCGGGGTTGTCAGGGGTGAGCGGGAGGAACCGTTAAGGTTGCAGGAGCCGCGTGACCTTGCCCAGGAACCCTTCTTTCGGGAGTCGCGTCTCCGGGTGTAAGGACCCAGGTGCTGCCCGCCTGGCTGCCCCGAGGTTGATTTGGTGCCGGGCGGTGCGCAGCGCAGCGCAGCGCAGCGGTTCTGTCTCGTTTCTCTCCACACTGGTAGGAATTAGGGTCAGGGGTGAGTCCGGAGTCTCTGGGAGTGAGGAAGGCATTCACTCGTTTGTGCCACAGACTCTAGTTTCTGTTTCCCGAGGTGCCATGAGATTAGGTGTGGGTTGAAGTCCTGTCTCAGTAGGGCTTCCCAGGTGGCTGAGTGGTAAAGAATCTGCCTGCCAATGCAGGAGATCCCCTTCGATCCCTCGGTCAGGAAGATCCCGCGGAGGAGAAAATGGCAACCCACTCCAGTATTCTTGCCTGGAGAGTCTCATGGACAGAGGAGCCTGGGGAGCTGCAAAGAGTTGGACCTGACTTACTTTAGCTGCTGAACACGCACACACCTGTCTCAGTCACTTGGTGACTAACCAAACAACTCATTTCCCAGGTCCAATTTTCTTACTTACAAAACAGAGCCCGGGCGTGCTGGTGAGCATCAAGCAGGATCGCTTGCCTGGAAGCTTCACACACATGCCTTGTGCAGGCTGCTGATGTAGGAGCAGGCTGCCCAGCAGAGACGTGCAGGTCACTTTCCCTGCCTGCCTCACGCTTCCTGAACAGACCGGTGCTGGTGTGGAGTAAGGGCTGGAGTAGAGAAGGAAGGAGGGGGCTGCTCAGAAGAAGATGGCGTGCA